ACAGTCATCATCATGTGACGCTCAGCCTCTCCCCTTAACTCCTAACAGTCATCATCATGGTGACGCTCAGCCTCTCCCCTTAACTCCTAACAGTCATCATCATGGTGACGCTCAGCCTCTCCCCTTAACTCCTAACAGTCATCATCATGGTGACGCTCAGCCTCTCCCCTTAACTCCTAACAGTCATCATCATGGTGACGCTCAGCCTCTCCCCTTAACTCCTAACAGTCATTATCATGGTGATGCTCAGCCTCTCCCCTTAACTCCTAACAGTCATCATCATGGTGACGCTCAGCCTCTCCCCTTAACTCCTAACAGTCATCATCATGGTGACCGCTCAGCCTCTCCCCTAACTCCTAACAGTCATCATCATGGTGACGCTCAGCCTCTCCCCTTAACTCTAACTAGTCATCATCATGGTGACGCTCAGCCCTCTCTCCCTTTAACTCCTAACCTGTCATTATCATGGTGATGCTCAGCCTCTCCCCCTTAACTCCTAACAGTCATCATCATGGTGACGCTCAGCCTCTCCCCTTAACTCCTAACAGTCATTATCATGGTGATGCTCAGCCCTCTCCCTCTTAACTCCTAACAGTCATCATTCATGGTGATGCTCAGCCTCTCCCCTTAACTCCAACAGTCATCATCATGGTGACGCTCAGCCTCCCCCTTAACTCCTAACAGTCATCATCATGGTGATGCTCAGCCCTCCCCCTTAACTCTAACAGTCATCATCATGGTGACGCTCAGCCTCTCCCCCTTAAACTCCTAACATTCATCATCATGGTGATGCTCAGCCTCTCCCCTTAACTCCTAACAGTCATCATCATGGTGATGCTCAGCCTCTCCCCTTAACTCCTAACAGTCATCATCATGGTGATGCTCAGCCTCTCCCCTTAACTCCTAACAGTCATCATCATGGTGATGCTCCAGCCTCTCCCTACTTCAACGTCACTCATGGTGACGCTCAGCCTCTCCCCTTAACTCCTAACAGTCATCATCATGGTGACGCTCAGCCTCTCCCCTTAACTCCTAACAGTCATCATCATGGTGATGCTCAGCCTCTCCCCTTAACTCCTAACAGTCATCATCATGGTGACGCTCAGCCCTCTCCCCTTAACTCCTAACAGTCATCATCATGGTGATGCTCAGCCTCTCCCCTTAACTCCTAACAGTCATCATCATGGTGATGCTCAGCCTCTCCCCTTAACTCCTAACAGTCATCATCATGGTGATGCTCAGCCTCTCCCCTTAACTCCTAACAGTCATCATGGTGACGCTCAGCCTCTCCCCTTAACTCCTAACAGTCATCATCATGGTGATGCTCAGCCTCTCCCCTTAACTCCTAACAGTCATCATCATGTCAACCACAACACAGAGAAATACTGATAGAAATGTGTGTGTAGTTGTTGATACATTGCTGACAGAGGGAACTACATTTAAATACAGATTTAAGAAATATCAGTTTTTGAGCATGTCATAAGCATGTTTTGTCTTGACTATACAACTATATTATAATACAAATAATATAGTATTTATATTATTGAATTGATTATGATTATTATTAGTAGAAGTTGTTTATTTGCATTAATTATATTTGAATCTTTTTGAGGCTAGTATTTGGCAGGAAATGCAGACGTATTCACCTGTAAACGCATACTGAACGACATACATGCACAACCATTTACCTCACTGCATAAAAAAGTGTTGATAATAATAATAAACAGGAATTATATTTGCAAACTAGCTTACTTTGTTTCCAAAACATTTTTTTGTCACTCCTGTCGGTTGGGGGGGGGCCTCATCTCACAATGTCGCTTGGGGCCCCAAGTTGGCCAGGGGCGGCCCTGTGTGTACACCAGTCTATGGTGTACACAGAGGAAAAAGGGAGAGAATCGGACGTTCAATGAGGACAATTATGTCCGCACGGAGTGGCTAACTGGAAGCGCTAAACTTCAGCGTCTATTTTGCTGGCCATGTCTTCTTTTTGACAAGGATTCGTGCTCCCTGAACAATCCTTGGGCAACTTCAGGATTCATCGACCTTGCCAACCTGTCACGGGCAATTGAGAGGCACGGTAAATCCAAAAATCACATAGATTGTGTGATTGTCTGCATACATTAATAAGTAAAATGCTTAAATTAATAAGGAGAGAGTTTCAGCTGGAGAGTGCGTGCGGACCTGTCGGTTAGATAACAGGCGTGTGCAAGTCCTGCATCTGTGTGATACAAATGTGTGTAAAATGATACCGGGTGCTGTAATCACTCATCTGGTTACGTTATTGACCCCCCGACCCAAAAAATGGGCTTCCCCTACATTTTTTCCCACGCCACGCTACTGCTCGGTAGCACTTGGTCTTGCTGGGACTTGAGCTGGTGACCTTCCAGTTGCCAAGCCAAGTCCCTATCGACTTCGCCACCACCGCCCCAAAAGCTCTATATTAAATAAAATAGAGTCTACTCTTGTTCTAATGCTCTATATTGAATACATGAGACGTTATTCTGGATGTGGAATAACACTTCTGAATGTCTCACATTGTCTAAAGATGAGGCTTGAATTTAAAATGCATCCCACCCGGCACTGCAGGCAGTAAAATAATTACATCAACATTAATATTAATCAAATCACAAGTTTTGGCAGCGAGAGAGAAAGCAGAGATGTATTCCGTCTCAACTCGCCTCAGACGAGCTGGAAACTCACAGACTAGATGTTCTCACGGAGAAAACGCTGAGAGATAATTCATCAAGTCAGCATGCTGAACACTCGTTTATTAGAACATGTTTATCATATTTTTAATGACCAAAAAGAGATCATTTGGGTTTTATTTTGAGATGTCAGCCTCTGGAGCTTCTGGGTAACCCCAGTACTTTCGCCTTTAACATGTTTTGAGTTCAGAAAGTCTGTAAAAATACAGAGATAACTTTAAACCTCAGCAGATACAACTTTACAAATGAGCGATAAGTCGAGACATATGGGTTTGTGTCTCAAGAAAATCACAGATACTTCATATTGTGACCTCTTGACATTTTAATTTAAAGTTATAACATGTAAAATGTCCACATCTAAATGTCTAGACCTATGTTATATGTTTAGTTTGAGTTGTGAGATGTTTAATATTAATACTAATAATACACATATTGTCATTTATTTAATGGGCAGTGCACATTAATCAACATTTCTGTAAATGTGCCCGTTAGCGTAGAATTTATTTTTCATCTGTAGTCCCTGGACAAATATAATTGTAAACAAGTAAATACAATCAAATAAAAACATGCAACATACAGGACTGGAAATGTTAAAGGACACCTGTCATGCTATATTTAAATGATATATTGTAGGGCCATATCTATATAAGGTATATTTATACGCTTCTGTTTTCAAAACACCAAACAGATCCTGCATTTTAGCCATGCCTCATTTCGCTCTATTTGCTCTTTCCAGCCCTGTTTTTGCAGGGGGCTGATTCTGTGAGCTGACCACGCCCCCTGTCGCTGACCACGCCCCCTGTAGCTGACCACGCCCCCCTGCAGGAGAGGGGAGCGCGCTCTGATCAAGTCAGAAGAGGGGGAGAAAAATAGATCTCCGTCCTCCGTGTTTTATTATATTATTATATAGAGTCGTTATTCATTTGTTTTAAAGCTCAATAAATAACAAAGAAGACCTTTGACCGGCACTTTTCTAATTTTGTCCGGAAGATTTTAACTTTAACGGACATGTTGACCAGCGACTGAAACTCTGCCGCACGGTCCCCTCGTCCCTTGGAAGAGGCGGAGAGGTGGGTGTTTGTCATCTGCTGGTGGACTACCGGAGAGAATTACAGCGAGGGAGGGATTGCATTGAATTACAGCAGCGGGAGCAAACGCTTGCCTCGGGGAGGGAGAGAAAGAGCCCCAGCGGAGAATAAACAGAAGGGCAACCATGGCAACCATGCGCGGGAAGTCTTCTTCGCTGCTTTTGTGGCAGACTACAGCGCCACTTACAGGCCTGGCATATGAACTACAGCATCTCCAGCTCAAAATGGCTGACTTTCTCTAAAACGCTGACTTTTTCTAAAACGCTGACTTTTTCTAAAACGCTAACTTTTTCTCAAAATTCTGACTTTTTCTCAAAATACAGACTTTTTCTCAACATTCTGACTTTTTCTAAAACGCTGACTTTTTCTCAAAATACAGACTTTTTCTAAATCGCTGACTTTTTCTCAAAATACAGACTTTTTCTCAAATGCTGACTTTTTCTCAAAATTCTGACTTTTTCTCAAATGCTGACTTTTTCTAAGAGACCTGCTGAGGTCGATCTGAGGGACTTTGAGGGTAGGGGGTCAGAAGGTGGAGGGCTTTGTAGGTGAGGACCTGTATCTTGTAGTTGATGCAGTGGGAGACGGGAAGCTCCTAGTGCCAGGAAATGACATATAGTTCAATCAATCAACACTTGTATTAATCCCGCAAGGGGCCATTGGTTATGAGCAGCTTATGCCATGAACCCAGGAAGGAAGAAAGCACACAGAAACACCCCTGGATATGGATCATTCCAATTACACCATAAATAGTTCATAGCATCACAATAAATAAGTTAAAAAACCTCTCAAGAATTTGAAAGGTTTGAGTGCAGATGGATGAATGAGAGTTCATTGAAAGACGTTTATATATCTCCACCTGAACAGTTTCTTCCCCTCCTCATCAACAAGGCCGGCCCCCCCGCTGACACTTTACCTCAGCCTCATCACAGACTCTATGCATTACATTCATTCACACAATGCACAACAATATCTGTTTCTTTTATTACTGCACATGTTTTATTTCATTCTATTTCTATGTAAATGCTGCTATATTTGACTATATTTTGTATTATTTTGTAATGGTATTATAGTTTTCTTAAAATAGTTCTGTGTTTTTAATTGTTGTTTTACTTTTATGTCTGCACCACGACACCAAGTCAAATTCCTCGTACGTGTCAACCTACCTGGTTCTGGTTCATATCTCTGTGTTTCCTGTCTCTCTCAGGACGGAGTGGTTCTGGTCCACTGTAACGCGGGCGTGTCTCGCTCCTCCTCCGTCGTGATTGGCTACCTGATGTTGAGGGAGGGGCTTACCTTCAATGATGCGTACAGCCAGGTGAAGCTGGCCAGACCCTCGACTCGCCCAAACCCCGGCTTCTACCAGCAACTCCAGACCTACAAACCATAGATTCAAAAGATTCAGAGATTCAAAGGTTTTATCATCAGAAGCTACAGAGTAGAAATGGCAATGAAACTCTTCTGACCTGAGCTCCTCCAACAATGCAACATATAAAATACAAATACAAATAGTGCAAGAAGTCTAAATACATTAAATAATGTACATTAAGACAACATTAAATACGGTTTATTGCAGTGATAACTATTTATATAAATAAGTAGATTGCAACAGATTAATGTTTTAGACGTGCACTCTTTCTGTCCACCAGGGGGCAGCAGAGTCAAGCTGAAACACGCAGGACTCCTTTGTTTACTCCCTGAACACAGTGACATCACCACGGAACACTCACGCTCCTATTGGCTAGCGCTGCAACACATTGTACGTGATAGGCTAAGGAGGCGGGACATCTCTAAGCTGTGGACCAATCACAACAACAGCAGAATTCTCCGTGGGTTTGTCAATTGATCCTTTGTTAACCTTAACATCTTCATTAGTAACTCAATCTTGAGAGGAAGTCGTGAAAAACTACGTACAGAATTAATTTTATCGTGGAAATGTCTTTATAAGCATTTTTCAGTTTTTCGTGTAATAAGTACAACACTAATATCTAATGTCATTGTTGATATTTGCTTTAATAAATCAACATTTATTCAAACCTTGTTGTTGATGTTTGATCATACATTTCCCCCGTATATATTTACACATGTTGAGTTTGTATTTTGTCTAAAAATAGTCAAAGAGTCAGTGAAAAAACACCTGTCTGTGTTTCACGCCTCAGTAAAACCAGATTTGTTAATTTCGGAGGCGCCTGTTTCACACACACATACACACACACACACACACACACACACACACACACACACACACTTCATCCTGAGGTACATCTTTGATTTCTCTCTCTCTACTCATCAGTCATAATGATTATCTCGCTGCTGCATCAATTTCACATCTCCACAAAGTAACCTCGCTCCCTTCAAATAATTAGCTGCTAATTAGCTCGTCGGATAATGAGGGGGAACCCAGTTGGCTCACACACTAATCAACACACACACACACACACACACACACACACACACACACACACACACACACACACACACACACACACACACACACACACACACACACACACACACACACACACACACACACACACACACACACACACACACACACACACACACACAGGTATCATATCCTCATCCGTTGCTATTTAATTGGAGATATTCTACTGATCCTTAATGTCCTAAATGTTGGAGGTAACGTCTCGAGGACTGGAATCTTGACCTTGTTTTGCATTCAGATCTGTTGCACACAGCAAAATCCAATAAGCATCAGGTTTACTGAAAACACACCATGATCATCATCTCCCTGCAGATAGGATATTAACAGACCACAGTGAACATTAGAGCAACATGTCACAGTAGAGACACTAATAACAATAGGCGCTTTCACACCGGAGTACTTCCCCCCGAACTAGGCCGATAGGGAGGGGGGGGGGGGGGAATTTGGCTTCACACCAAAAAGCATCTGGCCGGTACTTGTTCCCGGTACTTGTTCCCGGTACTTGTTCCCCCCGAACTCTTTAGTCCCTCGAACTGTCCTAGCAGATCGCGTTCACACCGGAATAAGTCCCAGAGGGAGGATTACGCAAATGAAGCCGCTGACGTCGCTTCTTCTTCTTCTGCTTTGTATTCCTACACTACTTCTACTTGTACTCAAGTACAGGATCTGAGTACTTCTACTTGTACTCAAGTACAGGATCTGAGTACTTCTACTTTTACTCAAGTACAAGATCTGAGTACTTCTACTTTTACTCAATTACAAGATCTGAGTACTTCTACTTGTACTCAAGTACAGGATCTGAGTACTTCTACTTTTACTCAAGTACAGGATCTGAGTACTTCTACTTTTACTCAAGAACAAGATCTGAGTACTTCTACTTGTACTCAAGTACAGGATCTGAATACTTCTACTTTTACTCAATTACAAGATCTGAGTACTTCTACTTTTACTCAAGAACAAGACCTGAGTACTTCTACTTTTACTCAAGTACAAGATCTGAGTACTTCTAATTTTACTCAAGTACAAGATCTGAGTACTTCTACTTTTACTCAAGTACAAGATCTGAGTACTTTTTCAACCTCTGGTATAAAGTAGCATAACTTGGAAATACTCAGGTAGGTAAATGTAAGTGCAATAGGAGGAGGAGGAGGAGGAGGAACGTTCTGCCAAACCTCTCGCTATTCCTTCTAGTCCTATAAAGGTCATTGATTATTTAACACGCCTTTAAAGACGCAGACTGACTGCAGAGAGGAGCTCATCACTCTTTGTCTTTCCTCAGTTAGCGCTCACTGCTGTCCAACAAACGTTAGGCTATAAAGGAACTACAGCACGGTCACATGACTTCACGTCACCACCGCTAAGCTAAAGGAGGCTAATGTTGGGTTATAAAGGAACTACAGCACGGTCACATGACTTCACGTCACCACCGCTAAGCTAAAGGAGGCTAATGTTGGACTATAAAAGAACGACAGCACGGTCACATGACTTCACGTCACCACCGCTAAGCTAAAGGAGGCTAATGTTGGGCTATAAAGGAACTACAGCACGGTCACATGACTTCACGTCACCACCGCTAAGCTAAAGGAGGCTAATGTTGGGCTATAAAGGAACTACAGCACGGTCACATGACTTCACGTCTCCACCGCTAAGCTAAAGGCGGCTAATGTTGGGCTATAAAGGAACTACAGCACGGTCACATGACTTCACGTCACCACCGCTAAGCTAAAGGAGGCTAATGTTGGGCTATAAAGGAACTACAGCACGGTCACATGACTTCACGTCACCACCGCTAAGCTAAAGGAGGCTAATGTTGGGCTATAAAGGAACTACAGCACGGTCACATGACTTCACGTCTCCACCGCTAAGCTAAAGGAGGCTAATGTTGGGCTATAAAGGAACTACAGCACGGTCACATGACTTCACGTCTCCACCGCTAAGCTAAAGGTGGCTAATGTTGGGCTATAAAGGAACTACAGCACGGTCACATGACTTCACGTCACCACCGCTAAGCTAAAGGAGGCTAATGTTGGGCTATAAAGGAACTACAGCACGGTCACATGACTTCACGTCACCACCGCTAAGCTAAAGGTGGCTAATGTAATCGTTTAAGTCAACAGGTAGCTTGTAAAAAACAAACATGGCCTCCTTCCTCCCTGTAGAGTAATATGATTGGCTCCTGGAGACAGGTTGGCCTTTCCCTCTCTGCTGTTGGATGCTGTTTCACTGGAGACTTTCCGCTCTGAAGCTGCTGAATCTCCCATGACATTTTTGTGACATTTCAGCGTCTGGATGTGTCGGCCTCAGCCTGGCAGAGCCTCCCATCTGCGGGGCCCCTGGGGGCCACAGCCTCTCAGAGAGGACAGGCAGAGAGGAGGGCACAGGGAGAATCATTCCCCCTAAAGCTGAACACTGTTATCTGCTGGCTTGTATTAGTCGTGATGAACTGCAGAAGGGAACAATTGACAGTCCTTTGTTTCGTTCTATGAAAAACGTTCACAAATCAAAGTGCACAAAAGATGTAAGAATGGAAAACGTAAATAATTTTTTCTCTCTGTCTGCTTGTTTCTTATATGATACGTTACGATATGTCAAGATACAAGATGATACAGTCCGGTAATCTGAAGCATATGCAGTTTAAAGTGATGCATATATACAGTATGCATACAGTATAGTATAGTATACAGTATACAGTAGACTCTAGTATACAGTATATATACAGTATGCTGCTGTTTGTAAAGCAGTACACAGTATGTATACAGTATATAGTATATAGTATATATACAGTACAGTATATATATAATACAGTATGCTGTTAGTAAAGCAGCAGATACAGTCAGATTTGTGTAAAGTTAATCCAGCGTCACTGAGGTGAGGCTTATTGCTGCATTGCATCATGGGAGCTAAAGTGGGAGGAAGTTCATCAGATAAGCCTCTTAACGTCCACTTTATGTTCTCGGAGCACAAACACACTATTCGGTCAGTAAACCAGAGAGTCTCGGGGGGGGGGGCATTTCCTGCAGAGGAAATCAGAATTATTCAGAGGACGAGATTCATTGTTCTGAAACACTTCATGCATCTCATTAAATACAATGTGTGGCTTCTGATTGGATGAAGAAGAACTCAAGTCTCGTGTTTCAGTAGAAGTAGCAAAAAGAACCTGCTTTCATAAACTGAGGTCAATATACTCCTTTGTTTACTTCCACAACATGGTGACATCACTACGGAACACTCGCGCTCCTCCTCCTCCATCGTGATTGGCTACCTGATGTTGAGGGCGGGGCTTAGGTTTGATGATGCGTACAACCAGGTGGAGCTCGCCAGGCTTTTACCAGCAACTTCAGACCTACAAACCATAGACATGCATTGTTTCTGTCCACTAGGGGGCAGCAGAGTCAAGCTGTAACACACGGGACTCCTTTGTTTACTTCCGTAACATAGTGACATCACTGTGGAACACTCACGCTCCTATTGGCTAACACATTTTTGGAGAAATGTAACAAATAGAGATGCTTTAAAGACGACATTAGGGATGTATTTTGGAATATCTGTCCACGAGAGATCCAGGGATACAGTTTACAAACCAAGGAGAAATAAGAGTCCTTCTGTTTCTTCATTGTGATCCACAGAAAAGATATCTTGATCTGAATGTTAAGCAGCAGAGTGAATGTGTGTGCGTAAAGTGAAAGGAGAACACGAGCGTCTGTAATTAAAGCGACACGAGCCACACATCCATTATTCATAACGCTTGTTTTTCAGCTCTGCTTTAATTTAGGTGAGGAAAACGTGAATCTACATAAAGAGGAACGGGAGGAGAAGTTCCAGAGAGAGAGAAGTTCATAAGGAGCCTCTGCAAACACCACGAGAGGCTCTGGTTCCTGTGTTATTCATGCCTTTATTTAAACACGGAGCATGCTACATTCCTCTCAGGAAACAGAGGACATGAGTTATGCCAGATCTCAGCTGATCAACGGACACTAAACACACATTGCATCATCTCTGTCACGCAGAGCTACACAGCAAGATGAAAGTACAGGTCAGTACACAGAACTGATCCAACATAATACTACGATACACTTCCAACTGAAAAACTCTGGTTATGATGTTGGCATTTCAGAAGAGAAATATAAAACAGGACGACATGCAGAGGAACTACGTGATGTTAAAGTGAATACAACTAAATACCACCGTCTATTAGTAGTGGAGAACAAATACTTTGTTACTGTACTTAAGTACATGTTTCTGGTATCAGTACTTTACTCCACTACTTACTTTTCTGACCACTTTTTACTTTCTACTTCTTACATGTTGAACTCAAATACCTGTACTTTCTACTTCTTACATGTTGAACTCAAATACCTGTACTTTCTACTTCTTACATGTTGAACTCAAATACCTGTACTTTCTACTTCTTACATGTTGAACTCAAATACCTGTACTTTCTACTTCTTACATGTTGAACCCAAATACCTGTACTTTCTACTTCTTACATGTTGAACTCAAATACCTGTACTTTCTACTTCTTACATGTTGAACACAAATACCTGTACTTTCTACTTCTTACATGTTGAACTCAAATACCTGTACTTTCTA